ATAACGAATCTTGCAGTAACCGGTACGTCTAAGTTCCTCTTAAGTGTTGCCAAAATCTAGGATGCAGAAGAAACAATACGAGGAAAAACTAATATCGATAAGTAAACGCATAACTATGCAAAAAAAGAATTCACAGAGTCATACATCATGAATAAGTTCGGGTTTACTTAACAAAGCAGCACCCATTCCTCCTTGAATAGAGAACGCCTTGGGGCAACCCATATTAATATCAACAGTTGCAACGTCGTTGCACCTAAATGACGAAACAAAAACATTCCATTTCAAAATTGGTATATAACACATGAAACGTTGATTCTTTTCATGACTAAACTTACACAATCTCAGCAGCTTTTAGAGCCCTAACAGCATCAGAAGTTCCCATTTGAAAAACAACTCTATTTCTCTCTTCTTTACATGTGCTAAAGACGACATTGTCTGTTCCTTTCTCCACAAACTCAGTTGTCCCATAAGCAACTGTAGAGGGAGAAGTACAATAAGAATTCGATAATCAGGAAGAACCACACAAACCAGCCCTATATGATTCATCAATATAAGCAGAGGAAGGAGATTTAAGTACAATGCCATACCAGAGAATCTGAGAACCAAATGAATCAATTCAAAAGATTCAGAGTTTACCGTTAATTCGACGTTCGCATTTAACAAGCTTATGATCGATAATCTCTTCACCGTATGTGATATCGGCGCCGTATTCGGCCGCCAACATCCTGAAAGAGAGCGTTCCCTAAACCTCCCGGAATAAGCAAAGGCGGAAGCGAGAGAAGAAGAAACAAAAACGAGGAACTGGTTTCACGATTTGAACTTACCACACGAACCATGGGAGCAAGAACAAGCTTGTTCTGGTAATCCATCTTCGTCGTCTTCTTCTTCGTGGCAACGTCAAACGCCTGATCCTCTAGCGGTCTATAACACTATTCCGTTGTACATCTTTCAACTCTAAATCAACCCTAAATCGAAAAAAGGGAAGAGATGGGTTCAGACTCAAATCGGAAGAAACCCTAAACGAAACCAAATCACAGTATAAAAGCAAACAGAAGCTAAAAGCAACAGATCTTAGATTGAAGTGGAAAACAATCAAAACCAAAATTACCAGTGTCGTCGTGTATGAGAGAAGATGAGAGAATCGTCGATGCTTACGGACTCGGAGGAGACGACGACGATGAGGAAGATAGAACCAACAGAGAGGTTTAACAATTTTTTCCCCAACAATGTATTAGATGGGCTTAGGCCCAATATGGTTTTTGTTTTGATAAAAAGGCCCAATACGTTTAAGCGGCTATTTAACATGTATTTTTGCAAAACTCAGATGTTCCTCTAATGGTTTCTAACAGAAAAATTTTCTTCTTCTCTGCACTAAAGAACAATCTCGAGTGTTATTTAATCTCATCACAATGTTTGTTGCTATACTAGGCAATTAGGTGAAGTTGGTAATCTCAGTAAATTTTGCAGCACTTTAGTTGTTTCATCACAGTGGCGTGTAACAATTGAAAATGTTCCAAGTTCCATACTGAATCTAAACAGATTATATATTACAGCCAAATAAATAAAAAACTGTCTTGGCAACAAATTTTGTTCCTGATTTTGGTTTTTATGAGCACATTTTGGAGGAATTTACCTAAAACAATTGCACGATTGGATCAATTCCATCACACCAGATTAGAATTTGTAAAAGATTTGAGAAGAAATCATAGGTATTATTGATGCAGTAACTAAAGTAGAGCAAGCAAGAGAAAGAGCAAGTTACTAATAGTGATAGAGGAGAGAAGAGCAATAATAAAGCATTAAAGTGTAAGATCACAATCCTAGTAAAACCCTAAGTTTACTTGCAAGAAACTACTACTACTGTAGAACAAAAACCTCTACTCTGCCTATTGAAAACTAGATAAAACCATGTTCAAATGTTCCAACTAGAAATGAAACATACAGCTACTCTTTCTCAAGGGCAAAGCAGCGGTCTTCACCACACCTGAAAGTCCAAAGACTAATCGTGTCTTTCTCTTTCAATTTGTTACCACTGACGACGTTGTTCCACCCCCGATTCAAAGCGTAGTTCAAGGTTCTTTTTCCAGATTTCTTCTTCATCACACATATCTTAAAACGTAAAGCCCACTCTTTAGATAATTGATCCACGACAATCGTTCTCATACCAATATTATTGTTGTTGTCGTCTTCTTCTTCTTTATCTATGCCTATGGCTTGAGACTCCTCAGGAGTCAAGAAGTCGTTTCTGAGTAACTGACTGAAAGGTATTAAGAGACGGCTCTGGCTTGGCTTGACGTCACTCGCGGTCAAAGTCTTCCTATAGATCAGCCTAACCGAGCCTTCAGCTTCTTTCATCTTTCTCATCATATCGAAAAGCCACTCTGGCGCCTCTCTAGCTGTCTGTGATAAAGGATCAACCTTTGCTTTCTTGGATTTACCACTACTCCTTTTCTGATACCTCTTGCGTTTTGTGTTCTCCATTAGACACGAAGACGGGGAAGATTGCAAATTAGGGTTTGGAGGGCTTTTAGTCTCCGTCCTCTCAAACTCAGCCGTGTTGAAGAGCGATGAAGAAGCAGAAACTCTATTAAGTGTTTCATTGTTTCGTCGTGTGTATACTCTGGTAAAAAAATACTCAAGGGAAGACCTTGGTTTTTGTGGGAGATGATCCAAGAGGCTCTTCTCGCTATCATCAAAGAGAGTCTTGGTTTCTGTGGGAGATGAT